TCATAATTTAGAATACCTTGAACTTGATCAGTGTAGATTTATTACTGATTCATCTATTTGTAATATTGCTAACTCTTACCCGAAGCTCGAACATCTTGATATCGGTGCTTCTAATGCTTCTGACACAACTATCTGTAATATTGTACGTTCGTGTAAAAATTTAAGATATCTTGATATCAGGTATTGCCGTCTAGTTACTTATATAGTCATTGATGAAATTGTGCAATATTGTTCTAGTTTGGAATTTCTTGGCATACAGTTGACAAATGTTAGTAAAGATGCATTGAGCAAACTTAATCCAAAAATTAAGATAAAGCGGGATTCAGTACTTGAAATGGGGCCAGAAAAAGAACTTAATGATCTTTGGGTAACACTAGTCAATTTAATACAGTATTTATGGTTAACTTATGCGAATCTCGAAAATATTGTACAATACTGCGAAGACAAGATTAAAGATGAACATTATTAAAAGTCAATTGTGGAATTGGAACGGGATATGAGAGGTATGGCTGAAAGATTCAGTTTGATGGTAAGAATATATAGGCTTAAAGAGAAAATTAATTATCAACTGACAAACCCAGAATTAGATACTAATTATGTCATTACCGAGTTTGTTCTACACGATATAAAATATAGAGGTAAAGAATTATCTTCACATATGAAATTTCAAACTCCCTGGAGTGAATTCCACCGAAGATTGCGTAAAAATGATTTCTTTTCTTAAGACTGATATCTAAGATATAGTCGTAAAACTGATCTATGATTTTTTTCGCCTAACCAATAATAAGCCTTTTTGCTAATCACCATCTTCAAACAAAAAAAAATCTTTCAAGGCTGGGACCTCTACTCTGGACTGGAATTGACCAGGTAAAAAAAAAATCAGATCAATAATCATCACTCTGGACTATAGGTTGGACTGGAAAAATTAGTCATAGTTCGGATTTGACTATCAGATAATGTCGAAATATAGTCTACTTTTTCGAATGGGATTGTAAAATTATCATCTATAGTTAGTAATAAATTATGCATATCAAAATTTGCACTATTTTCTCGCAACCACGGCATTCCCAAGGTTAAATCAAAAAAATAATCAGGCCAATCTGATCCAACAACTATGAATTCATTAGGTATGCTTTTATGCTTTTTGTCATCATTAAAGGTAATACACAGATTAACCTTTCCTAATGTGAAATAGGATACATCCAGAATCTTAATACTATTGCTTTTATCGTGATTTGTAATTCCTAATTTACCAATATGTTTTTGGCTAATGTAATTTACATTAGCGCTTGTGTTAAGCACTGCCTGGGTAGGGTTATTTTCTTCAACTGCACAATTTACGAGGATCATTTTATTATGGCATATAATATTCAAATATAAAAATAAACCTAATCAAGTGATCATATAAAGCGCCTGATTCTTTGAACCCCTCTGGCTCGGCCCACTTTAAACTACCACCCGCTTAACCTTTCTTGCTCATGCCTTCCTTCGTTGCTTATGAGGAACATCCTTTTTTTCTCTTACCTACCTGGTACCTATGGGACCCCTCAATTATCTCATCCGAATCAGAATCTTCAGAGGACTCAGACGAATAGAAGGAACAGCACAAAACCTTACCTTTTTTACCAATCAGTGAAGGAACTTTTTCTTGTATTAAGTCGACCACAGTCTCCCTGTCTACATATTCGTCCAGATCTTCCAATTCAGCTTCCAATAAATTGACCTTCCTTTTAAGCTT